TTCTGATCAGATGTTACTGCTGAATGACATCATATGTAAACGCTCACTTGAGGGGAACTTGTTAATGTTACCACCTGTTCCTAAGAGACAACAAATAATGGATTCAAATCACCATAACCTTGTCATCATTGTGAAGGGGATTATTAGCACATGGCACTATTCAAATGAATGCACAGAATTTACAGTAATTCATAGTTTAGTAAAGGGCTTCAAACCCCAGGCTGCGAAAGAACACTGGGTCTTATGCTTTGTTCCTGTTTCTTCTCCGAGGAGCGGAGCTGGGCCAGCTGATGGCGCAGCTGTGGCCGTAACAGGGATCCTCTCCACTTTCCCTCTCAGTATCATCAATCACCTGCTCATATTTCATTCATGATTTATTGACATATAATGTACATGAAAAATACTCACTTATCAGAAATACAGAGCTAGCTCAATTTTTAAAACCCAATTATATGCACATGGGACCAAGACCCCAGATAAGAAAAAGACCATTTCCCACACCTCAGAAACCCCCTTCATGCTAGCTGGAATCGCACCACATGTACTGTTGTTATGTCCAGCATGTGAGGAGTGGGAAATGCTTCCTATTTAGAACCCTCCTGCCGTGGACATTTTAGTTAAAGGTTTTAGTGAGCATGTACGTATATGCATGTCTACTGGGTGCTTGACTAGGGGTGTGACTGCTGGCCTGTCATGCATCCTGATCAGCTTCAACCAATCTGAGGTCCAGACAGACTTGTTGAGCTCTACCTTTCTCATGGCCAATCGCTTTGGCAGGGTTGACTGCCACTTCACCGGTCAGAAATGCCACTCTATTGGGCAGAGTATATCTTTTAGAAAAGTGAGACTGAGAGGAAAAAGAGAAGATATTTACAGCTTTCTTTAGACCGAGAGCTAATGTTGTCTAGAATATTATCAAAATCTCCACCTAATTTTACAATACTGTGGTAGTTATATTATTGTTTGTCAATTTGGGACTTTAGAGTGAAGGGGTGGAGTCTACTCTGTCAATCAGGTCATAGCCACTGAGGCTTCTGTGTGAGCATGGCCTTCCCCTAAGGATTCTGGGAACTCTGGTCTTTTCCTTCTTGGAGGCGGGAGGCACTATCTCTCTCTCTTGGCTGACTCCCTTGGAGACGCTCTACTGACAAGACATAAGGGTGACTCCTGGCAAGGCATCCCAGAGGATGATAGTATTTTAGGAACACAATTGTTTAATAACATTTAAGCCACAATGAGTGATTGCTCGTGGTAAGGAGTGGTACCACCAGTTGTCTGTTGGTTTGTTGTACTGTGGTGGCTGGCATGTTGCTGTGATGCTAGGTGCCACGTCATTGGTGTTTCAATGCCAGCAGGGTTATTCAAAGTGATGAGGATTCAGCAGAGCTTCCGGACTAAAAGCAGGTTATAAAGAAGAAGTAGGCTGTCCACTTCGAAGGAATCAGTCACTGAAAAACTCATGAGCATCCGCAGAACACTGTCAGATAGAGTGCCAGAAGATGAACCCTCAGACCGAGGTGCACTCAAATAGGACTGGGCAAAGTACTTCAAAGCAGAGTGGCCCACACGCTCTGGATAGGGTAAAGCCTTTGGGACCTTCATTTGCTGATGGGACATGATTTCAAAACGAGAAGAAACAGCTGCAAGTATCTATAAACAACTGGCACTTGGAATGAAGAAAGTATGTTGACAATTGGAAATTGTAAAAAATGAGAGAACATGCATATAGAGGAATATTCTAGGTATTACTGAGCTGAAATGGACTGTGATCAGCCATCTTGAATTAGACAGTCATATGGTTTACTAGGCCAGGAATGGAAAATTTGAAAAAAATATCTAAAAGGACATTGCAAGACATTTCTTGAAGTATACTGTTATCTGTGATAGGATAATATCACTCCATATATGAGGAAATCCTGTCAGTACAACTAATATGCAGATTGAGCACCATGAAAGGTAGTGATGAAGAAATTGAAGAATTCTCAAACATCTTCAGTCCAACATTTATGACACATAAAAATCAAGGTGCATGGATAATTACTGGTGATCTGAATGCAAACATTGCAAACAAAGAGGAAGGAACAGTATTTGAGGATATGACCTTGGTGATAGATCTGAATCTGGAGATTGCATGATAGAATTTTGCAACACCAATGATGTCTTCATAGAAATATCTTTTTTCAACAATACAAACGACAACTATACAAGTGGACTTTTCCAGAAGAAATACACAGAAAGAAAACTGACCACATCTGTGGGAAGAGACGATGGCGATGCTCAGTCTAGCAGCTGCAAACCCGTGGAACAGACCTTGTGTGGCTCAGACATCAGCTCCAGATGACGCGCAAGAAAATCGAAACCAGTCCACGAGAGTCAAAATAAGGCTTGGAGTCCATCCCACTTGAATTTCCAGAACATCTCAGGAACAGATTTGAAGCACTGGAGATACTAACAGGAGACCTGAGTTTCTGTGGGACGACAGCAAGCACGCCATACAGGGCAAAAGCACAAGGTCCGTAAAAAGAGAAGAGAGAAGAGCAAAGTGGAGGTCAGCCGAGCGGCTGAGGCCCGCTCCTATGGTGGAGCAGCTGAGGCAAATGGAAGAACTGGTGGGGTACACGAGCAGAATAAATAAAAAATTCAAAAATCCAAAGGGCATCCAGAGAAGACAAAGTAACATATGATACTGGAATGTGCAAAAACCGAGTTAGACACCCCACAGTGTAGAACAAGCTCAGCATACCTTAAACTGAAAAACCGAGGGGAAAAAATCAAGCCTTGAGTTGCAATATTGAAAGATCTTATGGCCAAAATATTGAATGATGCAGGGATCACCAAAAGAAGATGGGCAGAATAGAGAGTCCTTGTACAAAAAGAAGTAGTCAACATACAACCAGTTTAAGAGGTAGCAGATGAGCAAGAACTCAGCGCACTCGAGTCCAAGCTGCATGGAAGGTATCAGCTAACACAAGTCTGCAGGAATCGATGGACCACCAATGGAAATAGTCCAACAAGCTGCCAAAGCACTGGAAGCACTCACTCGTCGGGACATTTGAAAGATTTTACCTGACCAACCGATGGGAAAAGTTTCATATTTGTGCCTAATCCAAAGAAAGGTGACCCACTAGAATGCACAAAATATAGAACAACATCACTGATAACACATGCAAGTAAATTTTTGCTAAAGATCCTCCAACATGGGTGGCAGTAGTCCATGGCCAGAGGTCCAGGCTGGATGTAGAAATGGAATGGAACAGGGGATATCATTGTGGAGGTCCAATGGATCTTGGCTGAAAGCAGGGAATACTAGGAAGGAGTTCACTTGTATTTTATTGACTATGAAAAAGTGTGTGTCTGTGCAGATTGTAACAAACGACAGATCGCCTTGAGAAGAATGAGAGCTCCAGAGCTCTACCTGTGCTCACGAGGAACTTTTACACGGCTGCAGGGGCAGTTGTGTGAACAGAGCAAGGGAGAACTACTACGTACTTTAAAATCAAGACACTTGTGCCCCTCCCCATACTTATTCCATCTGTATGTGTCGCAAACAATTAGAGAAGATGGACTTCGTGAAGAAGGGTTAGAGAAAGGGTTATCAACAATCTGCTGTAAGCAGATGACACCACCTTGTCTGCTGAAGGCGAGGAGGACTTGAAGCACTTGCCTATCAAGATCAAGAATTAAAGTTTTCAGTCTGGATAGAAATTCAGTGTCAAGAGAAAAAAAATCCTCACAACTGTGCCAGTAGATAATTTCAAGGTAAGCAGAGGAAAGATTGACGTTATCACGAATTTCATCTTGCTTGGATCCACAATCAATGCTCATGCAAGTAGCAGTGAAGAGCTCAAACACTGAACTGGGTGAATCTGCTGCACAAGAGCTCTTCAAAGCACTGAAAAGCAAGGATGGCACTTTGAGGACTACGTGGCACCTGACTGAAGGCATGGTCTTTTCCACTGTGTCACATGCATGTGAAAACTGGTTACTGATGGAGAAAGACCGAAGAATTGTTGATTCGTTTGAATTATGCTGCTGGTGAAGAATATTGAAAGTATCACGGACTGCCAAAAGAACAAACAAATCTGTCTCAGAAGAGCTATTTCCAGAACGCTCCTTAGATGAGTAGCTGGCAAGACATTCTCTGCCCATGTTAGGAAGGACCAGTCCCTGGTCTGTCAGGCTTGCTCAAGGCGAGGAGCCCCGACAAAGAAGGGAGGTCCGACACAGCGACTGAAACTTTGGATGGGCTTGACCCTAACGCACACGGACGAGAACGGTGCAGAAGCAGGCAGCTTTGGTCGGTTGGATACAGATGGCTATGAGTCAGAAGTGACTGAGGTATCTAAACAGAACAGGAATGGTTACAGGGTGTGTGACAAATGTGAATATTAATGAAGGCTAAGGGGGTGGAAATGGTTCTGTAGCTTTGGTATATTAAATATTACATGTTATTAAATGGCATAGAAATGTTTCAAAAATCAGAATAGGAAACAAGGTTTCTAAACATATTTGTGGGTTAAGCATCATTGCCTATAAGATTCCTAAATTTACTTAAAATACTATATTTTCCCTTTCCAGAAAAGCTAATAGGGACATCAGGCTTCAATTAGAATATTAGTCATCCTTCAATATTTTCACTTGGGCCCCTCATTTTATAGGCAATTACCTTTCCCAGTATGAAAAATCTCTTGTAATGTTTCTTATATTCTTGGCTACTATTTACCAGACCAGACATAATGAACTTCACAGCTGATATGGTACCGGAGATAAAATATAAATGTTGTTTACCCCAATGTAGATACTTACCTTTTACTATTTCCCTGTTGAAGAAATCATAACAAAATGGTGAGTCAAATGGCAGAAATCTGAGGCAACTTGGTATAGCTATTCCCAAATAAGAAAGTTGTGGACACCTCTGAACTTTCATTATCTATGCAATCCCTACTTGGCCCTCGTCTTGGGGAGAAAGTACATGTGGATGATTCTATTGCTGCTGTTACCTGGGCAAGGCTGCGTGCAGGTCTCCTCAAGAACCATCTTTCTATTACCATCCAGAATGGGTTCAATGTCACTACAGAATTCCTCATCCACTACTTTGCTGACATCGTCCACAGATCCATCACTCACGACACAAGAAATATTCCTCGCTCTGGTGCCTTCTCCACACTGGGCATCCTGGAAATCAGGAAGAAATAACTAATTAAGACCAGAAAAATCATTCATCAGTAAGCTCATCACTTACAGTCATCTCTGTGCCACGGATTTTGATTTATGGACGCTTAGAAAAGCATTGGAAACTCCAGGGAAGAAGCCCGTGGGGACATTACTTTAAAGCATACACTGAGCAATTTGTTTGTTTTCTAGGCAAAGACAAGCAACCAATTTCTCAGGAAAATAAATCAGTATCCCAACCATTTTTAAAAATACAGGGCAGGGAATGATTTTGTTCTCAATCAAAACTAATTAAACAGCTATGAAATGGCAAGACACTTAGACTTTTTTAGGAGAGACTCTGACATCTACAAGCTCTGGAAAAATATTTCTGAAACGGAGTTATTGCAGACAAAGAATACACATTCAAGCACAGCATCTCCTGATGGGATACCTGGACTTGGCATGGAGACCACTGGCCATACTGCCACCGATAACAGGGCTTCACAAGGCAAGGTTTGGATTGTTCCATCAGAGTGGGGCAAGGTCTTCCATCCCCCTGAAAGGGTTGAGTCACTGTTCGTCTTCGGATCATTTTTCCTTTAAAAGATGTAAAGGCATGCACTGTTAATGACATATGAACATTGCACACGCATGCTGGGAAAAGACACCATAGGAATTGTGCCCGAGAAGACATGACGAAGAAGGCAGATATGGTGGAAAGAAAGCTACCCAATCCAACCTTTCTCAAGACAACTTTCGTGTGACTGACAGCAAAAGGGACAATTTATTTCATGCTCCTTGACAGCCAGCCGAATGAAGAGAAAGGTACAAACGCACCTGTGAGGCCACACGTTTGAGAACATTCTGACCAAGGAGACCAGTCGGAAAGTTGACAGTTCACTGGGCATTCGACCATGCAGGATGTGTTCATCGGCCAGGTATTCTCCAGGCCAAGCTGCAAGAAGAGAGAGGTCTGTTGGTACCAACGCGGAGGACCAGGATACAATGTTGGGGGAAGGAGGTAGATGGAAGAGTGAGAGAGACAGAACAAGTAGTTCAACTTAGCAGAGTGGAGATGTGGATTATACTTCAAACTGGCTGCATTGCCCTAAATGAGGGACAAATGAGTAGGCGCTTTTCTATTAGTTAAAAAATATGACTATCATCAATATATATGTCTATAATTATATCTTTGGGATATTTATTTCTACATGTATTAAGCTGAAGAGTAAGAGAAAGGATTTAAAAGTATAATGATAGAATGCATTACATACTAGAAAAATCTGTTTTAAACAAACTGCCCTTTACTGAAGGAACTACATGCTCCACTTGCAGACCTGACAAAGCTAAGTATTTGGTGTGAAGCCTTTTACTGTATCGCTTCATTAAACATCATAAAGCCAGGGTCACAGGAAGTTGGAGATAGTAATCTTGAGATATTAAGATGAAAGCAATAATAACATTTAAGATAGATAATAGCTTCATGGAGAGTATGAATCACAAAACACAACTAATACTGATTTATTTATTCCAGTATAAAGTTAATTAGGATGTCTGTTTCCAGTTATTTTGAGTATCTACTCATAAGATCTACTAATCCTGTATGACTTTTTTTCTTAGATTTACACTCTCTCTCGCTTTGATCTATCATCAGCTGAAACATATATCTTATAAATTAAAAGAAATCTATTCAGAAATCAAAAAACAGGAGGCAGGGGGGAGGCCAGTGACTAGTTATGAGGTAAGAAGATGTCTGAAAACAGCAAAGATAAAGATTCTATGTAAGTGCTCGGTGGGTTCAAAACTGATTTTCCTCGTCGTTGGGTAGTAATACCCTCTTTCCTTTTGACCATTTGAGAAACAGCAAGCATGAGCTACTGCTGTTTTGAGAAACTAGGGTTTGAGACATGTATTAATGGGTATGAAGTCAATCCTTTGATTAAAAAAATAGTTTTCTCAGAGCTATTCTTAAATCCGACTGTGTCTATTGGATGTATAAAATGGAATTTGGACTGTTTAATCCAGTTCCTGTAGAGTGGCACTGTTCCCCCTACAGACAACATTCACTACAATATTGTGGTTGGAATCCCTAACTGTGATTGAAGTATTCAAATATTGCTATAGTTACACATAGGATAAATATGTCCAGGCTCCAATATAATTAAAATTATTGATTTCCTAAGTTTTTACTCAAAGTCCATTAAAAATGCTAATTATACAATTTTCTCTACCTATTTAAAATAGTTTAAATCTGTTCCTGTATGATTTGGGTTTCGATTTCCAACAGCTGTTAAAGCAATGCATATATTTGCAACAACAAAAAAAGACATATAAAACTATTAGAATCACAAAATCTGGGCAGTATATTACCATGAAATTCTTCATTAGTAATATTTTTCTAATGGCCAAAGCAGTTCAGTATTGTTAGTTTTAAAATAAAAGCAATTCAGGTGTGAAATATCTAATTATATAATTAGAAGATGACAATAGAAACATTATGAGGTAAACAACGACATTTTCAGCACATATAGAAGCTTGGTTTATAAAGAAGAGACTCAAGCAAGTTAAATTAGGGTCTTGTGATAGAGGTAATGGATTAAAATATTTCCATCTCAAGTTTTTCCTTAGGCGTCTGAACTATTAACTGGGCTTGAAGTAACTTCCAGGACACCAAAACCGAAACTGGTGGCCAAAATCTACTGTGCCGCATGGAGGGCTTCAGCTCCTCTTGGTCTATCTAGTCCATGTCTACCAAGGGCTTCCCTCTGCTTAGCTTAATTCCTATTGAACCCAGGAGAGCTCAGACACTTGGTGAGTTAAAACCTATTAGGAATGTGAATGCTCTTGCAGTATGGAAATGAGACAAGCTAATTACAATAGGAGGTGTAGTTTCATGAAAACTAAGTTGGGCCAAGAATTATGTTTCTTCACATTTTATCAGATAATATTCAGAACTGATGACAGTACTTTTGTCAATTGGTAAATGTTAAAATTTCACAGTTGCAATTCTCTGTCTGCAAAAGATAAAAATGGAAGACTCCTATCCTTTGTGTGGATTTCAAGCTCTTTCTTATCGAAATCTGAGTACTTAGAATCTCACAGCTGGGTATTAGGGTCCTAATATCAAAATCTGCTACCAAACCACATGTGATCAACGTTTAGCAACAGAGAGAATAAATGATGTATCTTGGCAGGTGTCCCAGGCACTGTACAAAATTCACAACAAATTACAAAACATGACGAGTAGTCAGATTAAGATTTATTGCCTTTATTCACCTTGATTACTTATTGTTCCCCAAGCATTTCTTCCAGAATAGGCTAATTAGCGTACCTTTGGGCTCGAAGCAGAACAAAATACAGGAAATTATGTGTAGAAATCAGATGCCGTGGACTCCGGCTCTTTGGAAGAGGGTGTTTAACAGCCTGTGAACAGCGCAGGAAAACAGCTGCTGGCAGTGGGCTCTCTGCAGCACAGGTCACTTGGCTCAGCATGAATGGAAATTATCAGGGAAGAATTTGCTCACAAAGATATAACACAGCATCCACCCACCTCTTCACAATATTTCAGGTCAACTGACTTGCCGTCACTCCGAACGCAATCTAACATCCTGGTCTTGATGCCGTTCCCACAAACTGCCTTCTCACTCAGCTGACACGTACTCCAGTCTGAAAGAAAGCGAGCCCGTCAGAACAGAAGGCTCTGCACAAACAGATTTCATCTGAAGCTCTGATGACCTGAATCCCATATTTAATTTACAACTGCTTCCTAAGCCTCACGATCAATCATCCCACATGCAGAACATGTGGGTCCCAGCTTTGAACATATCGGGAGTCAAAGGAATTGCTGGGGTTGAACACAGCTTCAGGGATTATTTTCGAAGGCAGATGTCCACTTGCCCATCTTCAGAGCCATTTGGTGATATCGAACAATGGCTTTGACTGGAAAATCAAATGCTATCCTAAAAAAACCCCCGCTTTTCCTAAGAATAGCAGCACTGAGAATTTTAGAAATACTTTCAGTTTTACAAAACAGAAATCATTTCAATGGGTAGTATTTTAACCCTGTAGCTATATTTAAATAAAACACGATGTGCTTCACTCAAATACTTGAAATGCTTTCAAATACATACTTACTCTCTTCACAACCAGTTTAGCCATGCTTACATATAGCTAGCTATCCACCCTTTGCAGAAGCATTTAATCTTCTCTCTCTATCTAAGCTTACAGGGAATGTCCCCCCGCCCATTTCCTTTGTGTTATCAAAGGAAATTTCAAAAGGGACACGAATCCAATCTGGAAGTCGTGTACGACTGAGTGGTAGTTTTAAGTTTGTTTAATTGTGAAAAACAAAACAAAAAAAGTACAGTAAGCATCTATACTGCCCAGATTAAATGAGCTAAAGAGATCTTTTCTATTTATATCTTGCTCATACTAGATGAGGTTTGGGGAAAAAATCAAATTTACAGGTGAAGACTTTTCCCTCTACCCCTGAAAAACATACCATGTTCTCCTCTGTAGCTTCTATAACATGAACATATCTATTTTTCTTTCTCACATACTCTTTGGGTAGTTCAAGATTGCTCACATGTTCATCTCAGACCAGTCGTGTTAATGCACTGATCATACATTACAAATTGTTGTCTATGTCTCTTACAGTAATGAAACATCTTTTATAAAAGGACAGATCTTTCAATAAATCTGATAACTGTGGAATAACTGTGGAAAGAGATTATCTTTTGCTTGTGCCATCCCAATGTAGAAAAATGTCTTAAATCAAATCGCCTTGCATATCCACAATCTAATTTTAAGGCCAATGTCTACATGATGTCACCATTCCGCATAGCACGGTATTTACTAAGAATTAAAACAGATCCACAGTTCTGCCACTTCATGAGCAATTCTTTCCTGAAGAGTGAGCAGCGGGACCCAAAGGCTTGGTGCTACACAGAGCTCTGTCTAGCTGGAGATGAGCCACGCTTGCTGAGGGCATCGGAGTGGAAAGAGGGAATTTGGCCTTTAACCCCTGATCAGGGGGCTCTGCACGTACCTGTTACATTGTAGTCGTAGTGGTAGCAGTTTTTGTTCAGGTTACAGGGCTCCTTATCAACAGCATCAGGGCAGGGTTTTCCTTCCTCAGCAGGCTGTCTGATGGGATCAGCTGACCTCTGCCGGAAACTGCTTTGATTGCAAGGCTTGCAAAGAATAGCACACCTCTTCAGAAGGGTGAATCTCACTCCGAACACACAAAGCCAGTGTATTAGGGAGTACACTGCAGCAGCAGTTTGAAGGTTTGGGCCCTAGGCTAACTTGAACAAGTCAGTTCACTTCATTAGGGCCCAATTTCTTTATGAAGGTGCTGAATGAGATAAGGATGTCCCATCTAGCTCTAAGATCCCATTAGTGTATAAATCAAGTACACGTCACAGAAACACACAGACATACATATGATCATATTTATTATTGTAGAGTGATGAGAGAGATTATAATATATTTATGTAATACATTTTATATTATAACCTCTTAGACATGAAGCACAACTGTGTTAAGGGTAATTTTAAATAACCATCTAGTGGTGAGAAATTTTTGTTGCCTTTTATAGATGCATATAAACATAATTCAGCACCTACATAACCTGACCTGTCATTCTCCTACAGGCATAGTCTGGTTCTGGGAACATTTGGCTTCTTAGGACAAGAGGTGGCAGGACAAGCTTCCGCTGACTTTTTGAGCCCTGGAACAACTGTCTCCTTCTCTGTTCCCATTGTCTTTTGGGCAGACCACCAGAGTAATGGCTTCCAGAGCTGTCTAGTCAGTGCTGACTCATTAGGACCCGATGTGTAGGGCAGAGAACTGCCCCATAGAGTTTTCAAGGCTTTATCTTTAATAACGTTAACACTGAGATGGAAAATTAATTTATTCTTCCAAAATATGCACATTAACTCTTTCATAAATCTGTCCTGTATTGCACTTGAGCAAATTAATTCCATAGTAGATGTGTTCTTCCCCTGCCTTTGACGCTGCTTGGAAATCAGAGCACTACATAGGGCTCAAGAGGAAGCTAAACTGCCTGCCTCAGCAGCTGGCTCTGTTGAAAGGCTCTCTTCTCTTTCTGGAGTCCCTGGAAGAATCCCTACTGGCATTTGACATCTAGAAGCTTTGTGTGATTTTAAGTCCCCCAAGGAGACGTGGGGTCAGTGTGAAAACCAGATTCAGGGGCGCACCATTTTCTTTCTTCTGCTCAGAATCTTTCCCGTGTTCTCCAGCAGTTTAATGGCAGGCCTCAGATTGCAGCAGCCACACCGTGTGAATGATTATTCCTACCATTTGAGTAAAATGGATTGAGCAAAAGCAAATGCTAATCACAGGACACTGTGAAACAACCTTTACTAGAGATCTGTTCTTTTTAATGTTACTACTATCAGTTTGATGAGTGTCCCCCCCCAAAAAAAAACAAAAAACCAAACCAAACACATTGTATATCTTTAGGGGCAGGATGATGGAGAAGGAACAAAACGCTTGCAAGATGGCAATGAGTTCTAGTGTCAGGCAGATACTACTGTCTTCAAGTGACATAATCTTGCTATGTAACGGCCAGAAAGTAAGCCTGGCTTTGGAAAATAAGGCACACAGACAGATCTTACTTTGCATTTCCTTATCATCTTAATATTATTTTAAAGAATCAGTGCAGAAGAATTCTGCTAACTCCCTATCAATCATCTCACCAAAGCACATCTGGTCCATGGACCCCATTCTGAGATCACGCAGTCCTCGGGGCATGGCAGTTTGCATTCTCTGGAGCCCAGAGGCATCTCTTCTGGGTCACAGAGGTAATCCTCGACATGGTCAGAAGGGCCATCCGCTGTGTTCTGCATGCACCTAGAGGAAAACACACGTCTGTGAAGCAATCAAGTGGCAAACTTCATGGTCAACTCCCCTCCCAGTGAGCAAGGTCTCTACATTTTCCTCACTCTTCTTCCTAAAGGTTATCCCAACTTCTAACCACATAACAGGTCTGAATCCATCCAGAAGTGCCTTAGAAAATGTCTTGGAGGTTTAATTCTGAAAAATCAATCACTGTCAACCCTATGATATACTCGATGTCACGATGAGTTGGAATGAGATTCACGGCGACTGGTGTGTGGTTGCTCCCCCTTGACCTCTGCTTCAGCCTTCAATCAAAATTCACCTGGTCTTTCTCTCCTATTGTAATAGTGGAAGCGTCGCCCCGCCCCTGCCTGTTTGCAATAAACTAAAACCAAATCCACTGACATTGAGTAGATTCTGACCTATAGTGAAACCTATATGAGGTTTCCGTAGCTGTGATTCTTTTTGGGAGTAGACAACCTTCAGCTTTGTCCCATGGAGTGGCTGGGGGGGGGGATGGAAGATTTTGGGGTTTGCAGTCCCATGCCAAACATGCAATGCCGCTTGGGCTGGCTATCTATCTATCTATCTATCTATCTATCTATCTATCTATCTATCTATCATCTATCTATCATCTATCTGCTTTTGCAGTCATTCTGTGCATCAAACATCTTTCCCCGTTTGAGAGGATCTCTGGTGGTGTAGTGCTTTTGCATTAGGCTGTGACCCTCAAGATCAGCAGTTTGAAACCAGCAGCTGCTCTGAGGAAGAAAGATGGCTTTTCTACTCCAGTAACCAGTTCCCGTCTCAGAAACTCACAGGGGCAGTTCTACCCTGTCCTATCAGCTCATTATGAATTGGCATCTGCGAGTGACCTTCCTGTTTGAACACTGTGCAGTGTATTTTTTTTGACAGAATCTTCCTGTATTTTGAAATATTTTGTATTGTTAGTTAGATTAGTAGCAGAATTCAAATACTGCATTCAGTTTTCTTCTGTTCTAAGTATTTGTGAAGGTTTTTTTTTAACTTATTTCTTGGGTAGCTAAGTAAGGTGACTGGTACCTGACTTCTTTTTTCATTGGAGCTAATAACATCTGTGGGCAATTTTCTAGTAGAGGTGAACAAGTTTATCCCTCATCTATCTCTAAGCAGGTCAACCAAATTAATGGGCTTGGAAGGGAACGGCATCTCATGAGATGAAAAAGGAAGATTGAGCTCTTAAGCCTCTCAAACCCAACGCACTGCTTTAAGCTGTCAGCTGACTTACATTAGCAATTATATCTAAAATCCCAACTTTTCTCATGGATTTACAGTGAGTTGAGACATTGCATCTTTATAAATCTGCTCTACCTATCGAGTGCAGTCACATTTAAGTGAAATACCATTTTTCTTTGGGGAAATTCAGATCGCAAAGCTGGGCTTACATGTCTTAATTGGGCTTGTAGACTGAAAAACGTCCACATAAATATTCACTTACGCATTTTTAAATAGATTAGATACATGTATAAAAAGTAATCACAAAAAAGCAGAAGTGCATAGGTATATGATTTAATTCTTGAAACAATAATGAAATTATAAATTTATTTGGGAGACTTTTGGATTCTCAGAAAAAGTTCTATTTTCAGCATTAAAACCAATGCTATGTTGACTGTAGTTTACTAAGGAAGCTATGGGAAGGTAATGGGCTAGCTCAATGCTCAAAAACTTACTTTGCTGCAAAAAGCCATTGCACTCAGGTCAGATGCTAACACAATGAATAGGATTAACTTAAAACAGTAAACTATTGAGATAGAGTTAAGAAAAGGTGTCCAAAGCTAGGTTAAGTAGTTGGGCACCTAAAATGTATAAAGTTTCACATAAAAATAGTTTTCTCACTTATTATTATTATTATTTTATTATTCACATAATATATTCAGTCCAGGAAAATCAGAAGCATACAATTTGTATATTTCCATAACTCAGAGATAACAATCATTAACCTACAATTATAAATATGTTTTCATTTCATTAAAAATAAGCAATTTTTACTGTTTGTACCAATTAATAAGGAATCTACTATACATTATAAACATCTTCCTGTGTTAACAGCTATTCCTTTTACAATATAATTTTGATGAGTACACTTCAATTTCATCTTCTGAATGTGTCTCAATTAACTAAGAAGTCATTATTGTTGAACATTCAAATTATTTATTGGTTTTATTTTGTCTAATACCAATGGTCTTTTTATCATCTTAGAATATATGTGTATATGTCTAGATCCAGTTTCAACTCCAGGGGAAAGAACTTTCAAATTCATTTGCTTTTCAAAATTTCTCATCCTTTCTCCGTTTCATGTGAGTGAGAATTATGTTGTGGGAAATTAAACTGCATTAGAAATACATGGTGGGGAACCAAGTGGAGGGTAAAAGATGGGTACGGAGATTCAGCACAGTATTGCAATCCCAACCGAATTCCATCCCACTGAGTGAGGCAATTAGACTCCTAGCAACTGTACGGAAGGTTTCCAGGGCTGTAAATCTTTTTAAAAATCATTTTATTGGCGGCTCATACAGGTTTCATCACAATCCATACTTCCATCCATTGTGTCAAGCACATTGTGCATATGTTGCCATCATTTTCAAAACATTGTCTTTCTACTTGAGCCCTTGGTATCAGCTCATTTCCCCCCCTCCATGAACCCTTGATAATTCATAAAAAAAATTTCATGTCTTATATCGACTGCTCTCTCCCTTCACCCACTTTTCTGTTGTCCGTCCCCTGGGAGGGGGATATATGTAGATCATTGTGATTGGTTCCCCCCTGCATCCCCCCCTCTCATTATTGGTCCTGAGGGGTTTATCTGTCCTGGATTCCCTGGGTTTCCAGCTCTTATCTGTACCAGTGTATATCCTCTGGTCTAGCTGGATTTGTAAGGTAGAATTGTGATCATGAGAGTGGGGGGGAGGAAGCATTAAAGAAGTAGAGGAATGTTGTATGCTCCATCGGTGCTATACTGCACCCTGACTGGCTCATCACTTCCTTGTGACCCTTCTGTGAGGGAATGTCCACTTGCCTACAGATGGACTTTGGGGCTCCACTCCACGCTCCCCCTCATTCACATTGATATGATTTTTGGTTCTGGGTCTTTGATGCCTGATGCCTGATCCCATCGACACCTCATGATCACATGGGCTTGTGTGTTTCTTCCATGTGGGCTTTGTTGCTTCTCAGCCTAATGGCTGCTTGTTTATCTTCAAGCCTTCAGACCCCAGATGCTATTTCTTTTGATAGCCAGGCACCATAAGCTTTCTTCACCACATTTGCTTATGCACCCATTTTGTCTTCAGTGGTTGTGTCAGGAAGGTGAGCATCACAGAATGCCAAGTTATTAGAACAAAGTGTTCTTGCATTGAGGGGGTACATGAGTAGAGGCCCAATGTCCAGATGGGCTACCTTAGTACTAAACCTATAAATATATATACACAGATATTTCCCTATCACTATATATCAATATATTTACATATGTACATGCCTGTATTAGACGTCTATAAATGTCCTTTGCCTCCCGCGTTCTTTCCTCTATTTCCTTTTACTTTCCTCTTGTCCCACTATCATGCTCAGCCTTCATTTGGGTTTCAGTAATTCCTCCCAGCTACAATGCCCTTGATCTAGCCCTGCCAGGCATCCTATGCCCTCCTTGCCATCAATTTCAGATCACTTGTTGTTCCCTTGTGACAGCCCCTTTCTTTCCTCTGCCTGCTCCTCTCCTGTGTCCCCGCAGAAGTGTTGGTGTGTTGTTTTCTCCTCTGGATTGTTTATCCCACCTATATTATCTAGGTAGACATGCAGAGACAATAATAAGCACAAAAAACAAGGCAGAGAAAAACAAAGCAACGAAAGAAAACAAACAAAAGCAATAACAACAACAACAACAACAACAACAACACTAAAAAGAAAAGCCTATAAGTAGTTTGTCTGTTGACCTCAGGGTTGTAAATCTTTATGCAAGCAGAAATCCCCATCTTTCTCCCACTTAATGACTGGTAGTTTTGAACCATCAACCTTCAGATTAGCAACTGAGCCTACAGTGCCACCACGTATAGCAATAAGAGTGTACAGTCTATGGAGAGAAGCAAAAGCAACACTAAACCAACCAAATCCTCTGTTTTGTTTGTTTGTTTGCTAGTTTTTAAATCACCATGTGCTGACAATTCTAAACAATGCCAGTGATCAGATACCGTATCCGACCAGGACAGACCACTCTCCCTCCCAATTCTAAACTAAACATCCTGAAAGGAAGAACGAGGTCGGATAAATTGAAACCTGTTCTCTTACAGGCTGATCTTACTGCATGTTTTCAATGTTTGCATCGAAGCAGGACATTTTGACCTTAATTAGCAGAGGATGAGATTAGGGCGGGGCACTACTCAATCAGTAAAAAACAGGAACATTATTAGAGTTCACAATCAATAGTGACCTTCTCTTTTCTCTATTTGCATTACTGATGTTTACTGAAAACATAAATTGATCTGAAAGGTTACTTTCTTTGTTGGAAACACTGGAAGTATGTATCGACCATGCAAAACCAGAAGGAACAATGTGCACATGTACAGTGGAAGGGAAAGCTCTAAAGCAGCAGACATTTCATCACAATTTTTTATTTTTAACTAATAAAAGAACAATCTGATCTACTTCCAAATGCAAGAAAAATATCTTTTAAATTTTGAAGAAGAAATCCTAACTTTGAAGGAGAATGGTGGGAACCAGCATCTCAGTCTTTTTCCTTTTTATAAAAAGGAACAGGAATTATTTTCTATTGAAAATCCAATCTTTGACAGGTGTACATGCACAGATTATATGACACAGAAGTAATTTTGTTCTTTTCTATTGAAACAATTGAAGAAATATGAATCTTAAAATGAAACAGAAAAGAAAAGCTCGGTTATAGGTGAGAATGACCTTCACAACGTAGGTTATTAGGTGCGGGATGTTTCTGTGCTTGCCTACCATGTGACACAGAACAAGGTAAATGGAAACAGCTCTAGTACAAACAGTGATGGAACGATTGCCTTTGAACTCTAACTTGGCCAGGATATCAGGTTCCTAGGCTTGGTAAGTCACTTAGTACTTCTGAATCTGATCTGTAAAATTGAGGTAACAAAAGCTCGTGCACTTGTTTCACAGTGGCACTTGCAGGTGTGTTGAGCTATTAACTAAAAGGTTGGAGGTTCAATCTCACCAACTGCTTCATGGAGAAAGATGAGGCTAGCTGCTCTAGCAAAGCTTTACAGCCTCAGAAACCTTTAATGCAGTTCCTCAGGTTGTGGTGACCCCCAACCATCAAATTATTTTTGTTGTTACTTTATAACTGTAATTTTGCTACTGTGATGATGATGAATCGGGCGACCCCTGTGAAAGGGTCGCTCGACCCCAAAAGGGGTCATGACCCACGGGTTGAGAACTGCTGTGGTCACTGTGACTCTGAATCAACTCAATGGCAGTGCGTTTACTGGATTGGAATCGACTTAATGCAGCGGTGTTTGCTTTGTAAAACAATCTGAAGGAGCACTCAAGCAAGGAGGTTCAAGTCCTGGGGGCTAACCACATGGTTGGGGGTTGGAACCCACAAGCTGCTCTGTGAGAGAAAGATGTGACACGTAACTTCCATAGAGATTTACAGCCCTGGGAAGATTAAGAGGCAGTTCTGTCCTCTCTACAGGGCCACTGTAAGTCAGAAACAAGATGACGCGTGTGCTGGAAGACCCTCTGGCAGGGCTACACGGCAGATTGAACAAGTGCATTTGTGTTAGGTTTGAGGGAGCTCTGTGATGTTACAGAGTTCCCATCGGCCAAGAGTTTCATGAAGATGACCCACAGGCAATGATCTTCTTAATTCAAGGAGAGATACACAGGAAGTTGTGTGTGACAGCACTAGCTAAGAGAACATTCTGTGATGATGGAATTCTTCACCAACTTAGTCAAAGGATAGGTTCTAGCCACACATGACTGCTCGATACATGAAACATGGCTAGTGCAACTGAGGAAATGCATCTGCAATTTTAGTTGATTTGAACTGGTTTGCATTCAGTGTGACAGCCCCCCATGTTGAGCAAGCAGCTATAGAACAACATATGGCAGGCCCTAGCTAGCGTAGGGTTTCAGGAAGACTACCTGGAGGGGGTGGGGAATATTAAAAATTAGCCAGCTTGATATAAAGAGGCCGGTGCTCACACCAGGGGACCATTAGCATGAATTTAGCAATATCACACTGCCATTGAGTCCACTGTCACCCACAGCGACGGAGAAGAGCTGCTCCTGCGCTTTCTGAGACTGCAAATCTTTGTGGGAATAGAAAGCCTCATTTTTCTTCCACAGAGCAGCTGATGGTTTCTAACTACTGCTCCCTCCTGTCAAGGGTGTCTTGAAGGCCCACTTCCTGCATTAACACACAAAAAAACAGGGCTTTCCCGGCAAGCGGATGCTACTGCTGGCAACCCTGCAAAGGGCCAGACGGACCTGAGCTGCCTCATGGACAGCGTCGCCTTAGCCTTTCCCTGGAACCCAGATTCCTTCCAAATAGAACTGGGGCCAGAGATTTGGGAGGAAGGTGCATTCCAGGTGTCGCTTGTGAAGCTGAAAGATGGCGGTGTACTTGCTTCTCTGTGTAACTGCTGTGGCCTCACCTCACTTTCCGGGTTTGCACGCCTTCTCCGCAGTTCTCCCTCGTGTTCACGAAGGTCACCTTGCAGATGCTCCAGGGCTCTGTGACCCATATGTACTGGTTGCAGTCGCTGTGGCACGGGACGACCTCATACACCTGAAACACACCAGGTTCGCTATGAACATCTACGGGGACCCTAAGCGAGCGAGGGCGAGACTGACAGAGAATAACATCGGCAAAGTCTCGTGTGACATCTTTCATTCCTCTCCTTTATTATTCATGCTTCTGAGAGGGTCACACAAAGAAGCTTCAAAAAGTTAACAGAAAAGAACAAGGACAAGATAGAGGAATCGTCCCGTGATTTTTCTGAAGGGTCCCCATACAACGAAACCTCTAGACGGTCTGCTGGCTAGTGAACAGGGAGCCAGAAAACCAAGCTCACTGCGGGCAAGTCAGTGCTGACTCACGGCGGCCCCCTGAGGGTGGGTTTCCAAGGCTGTACCTGGTGCCCTGCAGTGGAAAGCCCAGTCTTTCGCTGTCAGAGCTGCTGCTGGTGGCCTCGAACTGCTGACCATGTGCATCGTAGCCCAGGGCTCCCTGTGTTACATTCTGCAGCTCCGCTGCAAGGGTAGATCTGACCCACCGAGTCACATCAGGTTCGTGCACTTTTCCTGCGCTGACCCGATTGTCATTTCCTGGACCATGTGTTTATGCAACTTTAGTTTAGCGGGATTCCATTTTTTAGCCCAGGTTGTTCACAGCTTAGGCATCGAAAATAGCTCTATTTACTAATGGCTGGATGAACTCAGTGAGCATCTAAAAGTAGTTGTCTCCCAAATAAACATAATGCAGTCTTTCTCCTCTAAAAGTTACATATGAGGAGATGCACGTTTTTGTGTTCCATACATTAAACTAAATTGATGCATACATAATATACAATAAAGCACACCCCCACCCCTTAAAAGCAATCTTCCATCACTGTGGGCTTGGAAGTGAGATCTGAAATAGGCCCCGGGTCACACAGTTACAACCCAGCAGCAGTGAGAGGAACACAGAATAGAGCACACTTGTTTGTGTCTGTTGTCCACAAGGACTTCCAACGCCATGTTTAAGTGCAGGATTTGGGGAACAAGGAGCCAATCATTCTCTTATCTCCCTGGAGAAAAACATTTGCCCACAACCCAGGGAAACAGATTCAACTCCACCATTAAGGGAGAATGACTTTTACAATATTTTTATAATAACCTATTTCCCAGTTAGTACAAATACATAAGCACACATTATAATTTGTGACTGCTTTATTGAACTAATTACTGAAAGGGTAAATTAAGCAGTCCTTTGCAGACGTTACTTCAACTTTGCAAATTTTCGTGGACTAATTACGCATGGCAAGTGAAGAAAGGGGTCCATTCCAAAGGGGGATAAAAAGACACCCCATTGGAGCAATAACCTCAATGCTTGTCAGATGGTCCCCTTCACTATTGGGCCCTGTATTAAAGTTAGACCAAATACCTCATGGGAAAGCATTACTCAATAGCTTTGGGGCAGTAAACAATCCGAGGGGGAACAAGGTGCCTAATCTCTTGATGACTTCCTTTTTAACCCACTACCTTGGAGTGACTCTAAATTAGCTCAGAACAATTTCCACCCACTGACTTTTCAGCCCACTTTCCCCTTTCACCTCTCCCTTAGAAAAGCCTGAGAGCATTCATAGGAGTGTCATTGCTTTGTCAACAAACGAAGGCTGTTCTTTCTCCCTAAGCCCTTGACCTCACCCCGGAGTGAAATGAGAGGACACGATCGACCGTGCCAGACAACGTAAGTCAGGGAACCGCTGCAGAACAAAAATGTCATGGAGAATGTGGTGTTTCTCGTCCAGTAAAAGTAGAAGACAATGACGGAGAAACAAAACGGACCAAAACAAAGCAAAACACAGTTCTTTAATATGAAGCTTGGAGTTCAAAATGCTTACCTGAGCCTGGAGGAGGAGGCACGGCGGTGGAGGAGAGGGGAGAACAACAGAGAGGTAAGAATGTCAGTAAACTATGATAAGAAGTCATATTCTAACTTTTGAGTATTATTAATGTTTTAGGCCATAATGAATTATAATATTTTTCTTGAATATTGGGACATAAAATAGCAAACAAACAGTAGATTGCAATTATTGTTGAAAAGTAAGAAGCACAAATTAATATTGCAGATTATATACCCAAGGAAAGGACCAGATGCACAGCAAAAATCATCTTAGAAACAGAGATTCTACAATCTACATGACAGATTGTAGGGAACTGACAAATGATTACCAACAATATGATCCCACACAAAATGAACTACCTATCTACCTACCTACCTTTTTATCTATCTAAATCAATCCACCAATCATGTTTCAGAGGAAATGGAATGTTGAATACTGCTTCCCACTGGAAAACAAAACCTCAGAGACTCTTTTTATATTAATGAATCGCCAATGACTATATTGATGAATGTATACCTGTAGCAAGATTTTAAGTAAATTTAAATTCCCAATGCGAATATAATACTTTTTCTCTTCTTTACATTTCATAAATATTTCACTAATACCAAAATATCCAGGAGCTTTTTCTCTTCTCTTACTTTCTTTCTTTTTTAGCAACGAACATTTGTGCCCAAGGTCAGGCGTTCAGGACTTTACTAGTCCTTCTTTCAGCTTTCACTTTTCAGTTACTGCTATCTTGACAAGTCGGCTAGAAACTGGTAGAAATGCACAAACATTCCCTTCATATTCTGCATCAGATTATATCCCTGCTCACAAACGACACTGGGTTTTAAAATGTGTAGCAAAAGCATCTTGTTTGAACCCCTGGAAACACATTCTTAAAGATAATGGTGAAGAAAACACAACTTTTTCACTGAAGATTTGACTGGTTATCCACACAAATACAAACACCGTGCAGTGGGTATGAGTATGTGTGGAATTCTTTATTAAGAATAAAGATGATAATTTACTCTAAATTTTAATTTATTATTAGAAATGTATGATTTAAAAGCTTGTAAAGTGATTTTTTTGTATGATAAATGACACAATTCATTTATCCTGCTTCACATTGGGTCATAAAACGAAGATTTCTTCTTTGTAATAATCAGTAACTGTGGAAATGTAGTGTCTCTCTGAGATGCTGAGTACCAATAGATGGCGCCAGTGCAGTGTATTAGCGACTCTCAGTAGCTATTTAAAGGGTACATCTGAAAACTCACAAACAAATCAACACTCATCTTAAGGCACTGTCTGAAGAAAAAAAAGTGGAATGTAAGTTTCATCTAATTTTGTCCTTAATTTAAAAAGTTGGTGCTTTTAAATATATATGTTGTTTTGAACAAATTAATATTACTTTGGGAAAGACCGTGGATGTATGGCATATAATGGTTCTATTTACTTAATTAAGGAATTGATTCATTTGACTGCAATCTAACTTTAACTACACATCTTAACAATTACACAGATTGTTGAAATGTAGGTCAAAGATGCTAACATTTATCGAATACATATTATATTACATTTAAATTAGTAAAAATTCATTCCATCTTACTTTTCCTTACACACTAGGAATAATACTGTTTCTGTTAGGTACAGTCTCACTTCCGGCGCACTCACAGAGAGCCCATGTCCACGGACAAGAGAAGGCAACGCTGCCTGACCCGGTGTCACCCTCACAAGTGTAACCTTTGAGCCTGTTGGGGCAGCCACTGTGTCAACACGTTTTGTCCACGGTCTTCCTCTTTTTTTCACTGCCCTCTACTTTATCAATCACAATAACGCTTCGAGAGGCAAATAAAACGGACATCCAAAGTCAAAGAAAGTTCCAAATAAAATAGATGGCGCCAACACCTAAACAGATCTATAGCACACCTACAGTGAATTCGTAAACATTTAAGATTTTTCTTCAAACTTATTTTATGTAAAACAAATTTAAATAAATACAAATGTTTCCTAATTTTAGGGGCAAACTGATATACTTTCTTCAACTTTAATTTAAACTTGCTATCAGCTGTTGGTAAATGGATGTCTTTTAGAGTTTAGTTAAACTTTTAAGAGTGTGACAATCTTGCTCACAGCATCTAAAATTGATACAATTTTATTACAAATTTAAAACAAATACTTTTTCAGAGGTAGAAATCATTTTCTTTTATTCAACTATGTGTGTGTGTGTGTGTGTGTGTGTGTGTGTGGTATACACTTGAGCATAAGCCGCGTTTTTTCAGCACGTTTTTTACACAGAAATCTTAGGAGCCTCAGCTGATATTCGACTATACATATATATAAAACTAAAATCCTAAACCAGATTTTGTCTCTTATTTTCATATCTATGGGCCTAGATGCACTCTAGGTTAGGAGCTAGACAGCAAACTCCAAGGCTGGCAGTTCAAACTCACCAGCTGCCCTGCAGGAGAAAGAGTAGGCCGCCTGCTTTTGTAAAGATTTACAGTCCAAGAACCTCTGTGGACCCTGCGGAGCACGAATCAACTTGCTGGCCTGGGGTTTGTTTTTGGTGTATATGGATACACACACACACACACACACACACAAACACATGAGCTATACTCACGTCTGATTTAAACAGATGTGTGTATAGAGAGACGATTTATATATACAGTATGCATATATGTGCGCTTCAAAAAGTTTGAAAAACATGGCGTTAAAAGATAATCATTCCAGTTTTTTAAAAGTCCTTGTGTCGTGCATGTGTGTGTGCATGTAACTAAATCTCCTGAGAATAGAGATAGTAAATTTTGTTTAGAATTTTAATATTATGTATGCGTTTATTCAGGCATTTTAACGATAAAACTGGTTATTCAAGGCTCATATTTTATGCTTAATTTTGAATAAAACGTTGATCACTTTGAATCTACACAATATTGCAATATCCTCAATGATAAAAATACCTGGTTGACATGGTCGAGTTTGGGACAGGGCCTTCCACCGTTATATGGTTTCTCACGGAGCCATTTAGACCGCACCTTCACACCACTTCCACAGGACTTGCTGCACCGGGACCAGTTGGACCACTCACTGAGTTTGCAGTCGGAGGGGCACGGGATGATGCAGGCCTCTTCAATGTAACCTGGGTGGGTGACAGGAAGAAAAAGAACCATCTCCCTCGCATGTCACTTTCGCAATGCCACCCGCCGCCTGCTCAGTGAGAAGGGCCACTGGGGACTTGACGGCAGCGTGCAAATGCAGAGATGTCTGCGTTGTTGGGAACGCTAATTAAATTCTGTAGGAAAACGACACACACACACACACACACACAGTGACTGTTAACAGCTGAGCAGCTGCCATATGATCTGCTCAGGATTCATGCTCACCATATTTCAACATTTCTGACTTTCTGACAGCTCGTGTTTAATTGACAATAACCTGTCTGCTGCCATATCTTTCTCATGATGTCAGAATGATACGTTGAAAAAATTACAACACGGGGTTCTATAAAACCCTATCTGTTCGTTAGTGTCAAACACGTTCCGGGTTCGGAGTCTGTGCAGTGTTTTTCCTCACGAATAAGAGCCAGTCCCTCTCAATCAAAATCTTACAGGCACCATTTAACTTAACACCTTATGTTTCCCCTTTTTGGAAAATCAAATCTGAAGAGGAAAAATGAAGGGTATTAAATAAATAATACCTAATTTTTCATAGAGGCGTCAATTTCAAAACACATTTCCTGTCTTTCATCCATTCGACTCTTTCAAAAAACCTATGAATGTGTTGGACAGGGATTGATATTGTATTGGCCAGATAAGAAAATAAGGAGAGAGAGATAACTGACAAGTGCCAAGTCACACAGGAAGGAAGAGGAAAAAAGGATGTCTGAAGGCTATCCCAAGTCTCACTTCATCAAATCACACCGGCCTCCCTCAGATTTCTTTCATGGAATAGGAACGTTTTCACTGAACAGATCCTTATTACCAAATTGCACTTGAGAAGACCCTCCTGGAACCATTGTTTTTAAGGCAAAGGTGTAGGAGAAGCGCAGCTCCCCTGCTCCAGGGTCAGGTCCCGGCTGTGCACTCTCCATCCATCCTCGCAGACGGGCCCTGCTGACGCCAGGAAACACCGCTGCAGCTTTTCCTCAACAGCAGAGGTTCGGTTTGAAAGCAATTACAGATATGTTATAATAGAGCACTCCAAGTAGGTTAAAATATTGAGATCCAATTCATATAAAATCTCTAAGTATACACTACAGTGCTTTCAAGTATATTCATAGCCACACACTATCACATACAAACTTAAATCTGTTTGTCACTTCAAACAGAAGTCCCTAGGATTGTTTCCCCATCCTTTCCTCCTCTCAGGCTCTGGTCAATAACCATTTACTTTCTCTATCTGTGTATTTCATTATATCAAGAGTTTCTAGATGTTTTCTATAAATATAGTATTATTTTGTGATTAGAATCTTTAGTATAATGTTTTCAAGCTTCTTCTATGTTGCAGAATGTATAAGTATTTCATTCCTTTTTATTGTGAAATAAAGTTATTACATTAAATTTTTAAATAACAATAAAAAGTATGAAGTACTTACAATACCAAGTGTATTTATCTCACAGTAAGAAGGTATGCGGTACTTATACGCATGCACACTGCAACAAAGGACAATAAACCACATTTTGTCAGGGCTTCCGTTCAGGCAGATCTGGGTGGTTCTGACTTTTTGAGCCGTCATGAATATTATTCAAAAGGACACTTGGGTTAAGTTTTCGTGTGACATGTGTTTACATTTCCCTTGAGTATATCCCAGGAGTGGAACTGCTAAGTCACGTGGCAACTACAATGTAACTATTTGAGGACCTGCCACGCTGCCTTCTACAGGGGCTGGCCTATTTCACACTCCTACCAGCGGCATATGAACACGCTGCACCTTCTTCTCAGCGTTTGTCACTAAGTGACCTTCTGATTTCAGTTCCCCCGGGGGGCTGGGAGGCAGTATGGCAGAGTGGCTCCCCTTAATGACTCACAGTGCTGGTCAACGTATCATGGGCTTACCGGCATGTGTATGTCTTCACTGGCTGAATGTCTATTTGAATCCGTGGTCAAAATGCTTATTGGTCTATTTGTCTTTTTATTGTTGAACTATTAAGAATTGTTTGTAAAATCTAGCTAAAAGTCTGTTACAGCACACACGATTTACATACCTCCCCCTCCATTCTTTGGGTTGTCATTTTACTTTTGGGTAGTATTCTTTGAAGTACAATAGTTTTTACACTTTAAGGTTGACTGTATCTGTTTTTCCTTTGGTTGCTTGTGTTTGATATGTATTCAGTGTCACAGCTCTTTACACCTATGAGTAAGTCTAAGAATTTTAAAGTCCTGGTTCTTAGATTGAGGTTTACGATCCATTTTGAGTTAAAGTTTTGCACATGGCATGAGAGGGGCTTCTTTGTTCTTCAGCCCGGGGCTATCTAGTTGTACCAGACTCTTCTATTCAAAAGATGATTCTGTGCTTCTTGAAATGTCTTGGTGCCTCTGTGGACAATCAGTTGACCACAGTAATGTACGGGTTGAATTCTGGACGCTCAGTTCAGCAGCACTGATCTTTATGTTGATGTTGATGTCAGACCGCACTGTGGATTACTATAACTCGCACTACACTGTGAAACCAGAAGTGTGACCTTAGAGCTTGACACCTTTCAAGATAAGTTTGTTTGTCTGAGCCCATTACACTTGCCTATTAATGTAAGGAGGAGTTTGCCAATCTGTTCCAAGAAGGAAGCTGGGATCTTGAATTGAATGTGGCTGTTGTGATGAATCTGCTGATCAAGTGAGGTAAGAATATTGTGATCCAACAACTACTGACGTGCCCTGCATTTCCAGTCAGGTATGTTCCTTGAATCTCTTACAATGATATTTCATAGTTCTCTGTGTGAAAGGCTTACATTTGTTCTGTTAAACTCCCTCTTTATATATATATATATATATATACACACACACACATACATACATACATATTATTGTAGGCAGATTTTAAAGAGAATCAATAAGTAATTTTTTATTATTATGGGGAAATCAGAACCCACTTAAACAAAAGTGCCCAATTTTTTCTACAAATGTGTTCCCAAACAGTCCTGGATTAAAAAAGTGTGAAAATTCTAGATAATTTACTATATAGTAGTTTCCAGGTTTATCTCAGTATAAAGTTATCTGATAAACATTTATCCCCTGAACACTTTAACACAGTTTATCTGAGAAAAGATTTAGAATATTTTGATATATGTGTATATATATGCATATGTATGCATTTATATATACACACACATATTCAGCTGCCTTGCAATTATAAATGGCATTTTAATGGGATAATTTTAGGTTATCTGCACTTGTAAGAGGGACCCTACATATTTTTTTACACTTTTCCTCAATTGTAACTATAGTGTAATTTAAACCAGGATATTAGAATTGATATAATCCATTAATATTGTTTAGGTTTTGTGGTTGGGTGAAATTTCTTTTTTCTTAAAAATCATTTTATTGGGACCTCATACAGCTCTTATCACAATCCACTGTGTCAAGCATATTTTTACATTTGTTGCCATCACAATTTTCAAAACATTTTTTTCTACTTCAGCCCTTAATATAGGCTCCTCCCCCTTCCCTCCCTCCCTTCCTCCCTCATGAACCTTTGATTATTTATAATTTTTTTTTTCATGTCTTACACTGACCTATGTCTCCCTTTACCCACTTTTCTGTTGTCCATCCCCCTGGAAGGGGGTTATATGTAGATCGTTATGATTGGTTTCTCCTCGCTCCTTCCATCTTCCCCTTCCCCTCCTGGTATCACTACTCTTATTATTGGTCCTGAGGGGTTTATCTGTCCTGGATTCCCTGTCTTTCCAGCTCTTGTCTTTATCCATGTACATGCTCTGGTCTAGCTAGATTTGTAAGGTAAACCTGGGGTCATGATAGTGGCGGGGGAGGTAAGGAAGCATTAAAGAGCTAGAGGAAAGCTGTATGTTTCATCAGTGATATATAGCACCCTGCCTGGCTCATCTCTTCCTTATGACCCTTCTGTAAGGGGATGTCCAATCCTCTACACATGTACTTAGGGTCTCCATTCTTCATTCCCCCTCATTCCCATTGATGATTTTTTTGTTCTGGGTCATTGATGCCTGAGACTTGATCCCATTGACACCTCATGATCAGAGGTCTAAATACAGGCATGTACATATGTAAATATATTTATATATAATGATAGGGAATAGATCTATCTATCTCTCTATATATATTTATATGTTAAGTATTAAGGTAGGAGATGGACATTGGGCCTCTACTCAAGTACTCCCTCAACACAAGAACACTGTTCTAATAACGTGGCATTCCGTGATGCTCAGGTTTCCAACACGATCACCAAAGACAAAATGGGTGCACAAGCAAATGTGGTGAAGAAAGATGATGATGCCTGGCAATCAAAAGATATAGTGTCTGAGGTCTTAAAGGCTTGAAGATAAACAAGCAGCCATCAAGCTGAGAAGCAACAAAGTCCATATGGGTGAAATTTTTTAATATGACTCGTCTATCCATTTTGCTGTAACTCCCACCGATTGATTGGGTGGGACTATGCAAATATGGTACATGTAGAACTAAGAGAGGATTAGTCAGTTTATGTTACCACCTTCATGGCTATAAGAATGAGATATCTGGCCAAGAGCAATGAAATTCCAAGACCATTGGAAGTGGAGCATTCTTGATATCTCTGTCTGAAGTGGTGGAGGCAGAGAACAGAGGCACCAGAGGCTATCACATGAAGATCATGGGAGCGAAGGAGCTAGTGTAAGATTGGAGGCTAAACTCTCATAATTGTGAGCACTGCTCATGAGCTCTGTGTGGCCATTGCAAGCATTTGCTGAACATTGCATCGAAGTAGAATGCTGTTGGAGAACAGCTGGTATCAGAATAAGTGCAGAGAGATGAAGGGTTGAGGCATGGCCAACTTCTGCCTCTTGTCAATAGGGAAGCTTGAGGAGGTCGGATATGGCC